ATGTAAATCAAAACCATCATTAGAGTCTGCCGCATCCCGACCCAGCCCCAGCGGCCGGAGTGGAAAAGTTTGAGCACAGGAGTTTTGGCAAGGGCATGGCGCCCTCAGGTCTCCCGTTCACTGCTGGCCCTGGGAAGGGCACGTCTGCATCTGCTGAGGCTGAATGTAAGATCCATGCGTACCCTTGGGCCCAGCAACTGTAGTTTGAAGCATAACCCACAGAATTACCTACCACACATGGGATGACTTCAGCAACCAACTTTTATTTTTTCCCAATTCTGGAAGCTGAGTTCCAGATCAAGGGGTCAGCTGGATGGATTTCTTCTGAGAACTCTGTCCTCGGCTTGCAGGTGGCCACCTCCTGCCTGTACCTTCTCGCATTCTCCCCTCGGTGTGTGACCCTGTCGTGACGTCCCTTCCCCACAGGACACCAGTGGACCTAATCCTGGAAAGTTACTCACTTCTCAAAAGACCCAGGCTCCCAAAACAGTCACCATTCTGAGGTGCAGAGGGTGAGAAATCAGCTGACAAATCCTGAGGGACATGATTCCGCCATAACGCCTCTACTTACGGATTGGCTGGGGCCTTGGGGGTGTGCTGGGCCTTGACTCCTAAGATGTGCACTGTGATGTAAATGAACCTTGGCCCCATTGATGTAACTTAACAAAATAGAGGCCCATTACTGACCGTCCATTTCAGAGTGAAGGAAGTCCCCGCCCAAGAGTCTAGCCCCCCCGCAGCTCCCTGACCGAGTCCTTCAGCTACAGGTCCCTGTGCCCACTCTCCTTGACCCCCGCTTCCCCAACACCAGAGGCCTTTACTCTGCCTCCCTCCCCTTGGGTGGCTTTCTGGTCAGACATGCCAGGGCTGCGGCCTGCATTCCCTGCAGCATCCCATCTAAAACAAGGACAGGCCCGTTCGTTCACGCTATCTTGTGCCCTCTCCTGCTTCCTCTCTTTCTAGCTGTCCCAGCTTCCCATGGATCAGGTGATGCATTTGTCTTTCACAAAGTATCTCCTCCCCTGAAGAGCTTCCTTATGCCATGAGCCTCTCGCCTTGCTTACTTGTGTATTTCCAGCAGCTGAGAGTCTCTGACGTCCACTAGCTGTTCAGAAAATATTTGCCACAAGAACGAGGAGCTGTGCTTAAGGAGAGTGCAGTTGAGGGGGAGGCTGGGAGTGCTCAGCGCCCCAGAACCCAGTCATGAGGCCCAAGCTCCACATGGCACATGCTTTTCTCAGACAGGGGGTCGACAGGATTTCCAGCAGAGTTCAGAAACTTTCGTGTACTTAAAATTTGGGGAACAGATGTATCTAAATGCCAACCTGAAACCCAATGAGAAATAACAACAAAAAAAAGTGATTTCATGCAGGAAGCAGCACCATGGACCATCGCGAGAAGTGACAGAGGACACTGGCAGCCGAGGAGAGGAGCTGCGCCCAAGAGCATACCCCTCGGGGAGGGTCTCTGCAGGAGTAAGGTGACGACATGAAAACAGCAACCAGGGACGGGCTGTCCTGGCCGAGCACAGCACAGAGCGTCACCACAGGAGTCACTAACAAGTTTCCTGCGGCCACGGTTCTCGTTTGCTCACGTGGAAAGGTGTGTCACGCCTGCAGGATGCGCTTTTCCCTCCTGACATGCACCTTAAAGGGCTCCCGCACAGGGTCCTGGTGCACAAAGTGCTGGAACACCTGGTGTGAGCACGTGCTTCCCAGCGCGCATCAGCGGCCCCTCCCCGGCCTGAGAGCAGGCGAATGGCCGGGCTCCCCGCGCAGAAACTGGAGTCGCGCTGTCTTCCTTGGCGCCTGGCCGCCCGCACCCCAAGGTGGCCTTGCCTTTGGATGGCCCCTCCGCCTCCCCTCGGGGCTGTGGGGAGCACGGTCCTCCAGTTCTGTGCGATGCCTGTGGGAACGTTCGCTCGGGGCTGCCCGCCAGGCAAGCGCGGGGCGGCCGCTCCTCCATGACCTATTGGGCAGGAAGGCAGGTCTGGGAAAGGCGAGGAGACTTGTCTGAGTTCAGTGCTCCCTGGAACCCTCTGGCGCTGTTGGCACCCCGAAGCTGGCGTCTAGCCAGCCCAAGTCTGGGCTCGGCCCAAGGTGCAGACTGGAGACCCGGCTGGGTCCAAGGAGTCATCGGTCTAGGGGTGCAGCCAGGGTTCGGCACCTCAAGGCGCAGTGAACAGAGCCGCGTTCCAAAATACAAGCAAGTGCCTGCGGCGGGGAGGGGAGGCTCACGCAGGCTGTGGCAGCACCCCAGAGCAGTGCCCAGGCAAAGACACGGGGTGCCCTAACACTCCCTCGCTCCGAATTCCCCAGGCCCAGCTGCAGGGAGCGCACGTTGACGCCTATGAAAGTCCCAGGGTTCCTGCCTCCTCCCAGTTCTCTTTTGCTCTCCAGAAGCTTTCTGGGGGGCCTGAGCCACGTCAGGGCTTCTCCCCCCCCCACCCCTGCTGACTTTGTATTTGAACAACAGTGGGGAACAGGTGACATCGGGCCTCGGGCCACCTGCGTTCTACCCCCGCTCTGTGAAGTTTGAACTGCACGATCATTTCTGTGGGACTCAGATAAAATAATTGCTTCATAGACCTGGCGTAAGGATCAAAGCAAACCCTGAAGACGAAGGTGCTTCGTACGACCTCACATCGTTCCTGACAGATGTATCTCCAATCTAGACGTCTGTCCTTAGCTGTCGTCTGAAATATTCAAGCTCCCCTTATCACCCAGGGCAAGGCTTCCCATCGTGCCTGTGGAACTTCTTGCACTCGAGGGCACTTGCGGGCACGACGGGCTCTCCATAAGGCGAGCCCCTCTTTACCACTCGCATGGTCTTGGGGACTACGGGCCAGGACTGACACCTGAAGGCCGGAGCCCCTTCCCGCTCCCCCCTCCCCTCCCCCCGTCTGCCCTGTCCTCCATCAGGTTCTCGGTGTTTCTGCCCTGGAGTGTTGCGACATCTTAAGAGGTCCTGCTACCTCGAGGCTCACACACCACCTCCCCGATCCTCCTTGTCCCATTTCATTCTGAGTCATCGTTCAAGGGACCTTGAACTTGTCATGAATTGAGCCTCCCTGGAATTAGAGGACTTTATGGCCAAGTGGCCATCAAGAGTTGCCGAGGTAGTCTCCTTCAACTCCCAGTGAGTTTTCCACATACAACCTCACGCAGAAGGCAAGCGCTGGCTTGGAAGCATCTACAATTCTAAGAAAACACGGGCAGTGGAGAGAACTCTGGGGTCATTGTCAGATGACCTTGGGTTGCGTTCTTGTTCCAGGTCAAGTTCTGCCACTAGCACACAGAACCAGCTACGAGATGACGTCAGAGAGGCCATCCACAGCCCAGCCCCGCGCAGACTTCTGGGCTGATGTTTGATCTGTAGAGGCGACGTAGCAGGAGAATGTGCCACCTAATTATTGTGTGTGTCAGGGGGTCCCTTCCAAATCCTCCCACTCCAGCCCACCCGGCCAGGCTATCAGAGCTAAACACATGCCGTCTGGGGCTTTCTGTTTAAGTTGTCCATAGCAACAGGCAGCGTCAGCGCTCCCCAGCCCGCCTCGGGGCCCTGCCCATGTCAGCCGTGTGCAGCGTGGTGCTGTCCCCCACGCCGTGTCGGTCAAGAGCGAACCGCTGACCTGCACGGAGACCTTTCCGTACACTGAAACTCCTTTCCTGGGCGCGTCCGGCTCCCACTGTGCGAGCGGACTCGCTGTAGCCTAACGGGCTGCTTCACACTGGGGCTTCCACGGCAGCGGCGCTTGCTCAGACTCAGCACCCCCCGCTATTACGAACCAGGGGAGCACACTGTGGACTCGACCGGGGGTTTCCACAGCCTGGGGAGGAGGGAAGACTTTCATGAAAAGGCCCTCTTCGCACGGGGCAGCAGGAAGAGGGGCCCCTCCTGGGAATTCCAGCAAGAGACCCCTCCTGTCCTTCACCGACGGGGCCGGGAAAGCACCCCGCTCCCCGTCATTACTGAACCCTGTTTGTTCCCTTCGAACCTTTGACAGGTGGGAAGGTCCATCTTAGTGCTGGGGTGAAGAATCGCAGTTCCTCGGGGTGACTCCTGCCCAGAAGCCCCGTCCCCTAAAGTTTGGGCTCTCTAGAAAACAGGCGAGCCGCGGAGCGTGCAGCCGCGTGAGTCATCTGCTCTCAGCGCCCCTTGAAATCAACGATAATGGCTTGGCAACCTCGCGTGTATTAATAGCTTTGTCATTTTACCTTCTTCCTGCTCCCTGAATGCCACGCTGACATTAGAAATGGCAAAAAGTGGCTTCAGAGCAGATTGTCCTGAGTCTCTAAGCTGCCCAGTGCCCCGGCCTTTCCCGGTGCCCCGGCCGGGGGTCAGCAGCCCATCCTTCCCGCCGTGAGAAACGACTGTTACTCCTTTGCGGCATTTCCTTCTGGAAATGATTGCATTTCTTTCCTTTTCTGTGTATCGCCTGTTTCCCTGCCTAGGAATGGAAATTTCGTGAGGGCAGGGACTTAGTCCAGCTGGCGGCTGCATCCCAGCTCTCGGAGAGGATCTGTGACAAGGGGGGGGAGGCTGCAAGTATCACCCCCTTTCCACACAGAGGAGGAGGACACGCAAGGGCTGGCCAGGGGAGAGGGCCCTGCGGGGAGGGGCGGGCACGCTGCCCCAGGGCTTTGGCCCTGGCCTCCTCTCCCCCGCCCTGCAGCAAAGTAGCGCCCTCTTGGCTCCCTGGTCTTGGGTGCCGGGGGCCTGAGGCCCTTCCCCCTCGCCCAGCACTCGCGTGCGGGATGGGAACTTCTCTAGCAAAGGTCACAAAGTCTTCTCCGTGGCTGATCATCGCCGGCGGCTCTCAGGCGGCCTCCCGCGGCGCTGGCGCAGTGGACAACGGTCGCCCTCCCTCCTCACCTCGCTGGCCGCCTGCCCTCCCGGCCCGCCTCCGCTTCCCACTCAGGGTCCTCGACACTCAGGCCTCGGGTCACGCTCACTGCCATGCTGGGCTTCTCCGGCCGAAGCTCGCGAGCGCCGTGCCTATGCCGACGCGCCCCGCTTTCGCCAGCTTGGCCCACGCCGCCCTCGCACCCGAGCGTCGGACACTCCGCGTGCCCAAACCCAACGCCCCATCTTGGCTCCAGAAAACTAAACGCAACAACGACAACAACAACGACCCAGCAAAACGAAACAAAGAGCAAGAACAAACCTAGGCCTGCCCGTGGCCTCCCCGTCGCAGCGAAGGCCGCCCTCCCGCTGCGAGCCCGCGCGTCTCTGCTCGGCTCCCCGGCCCGGCGGCGCCTGTTGTCCCGCAGAGCTGACGTCCACATCCATGTCCTTCCCGGGTCGGCACCACCCCGCTCCACCCGCCAGCCCCACCTCGCCTTCTCTCTGAGCTCCCCCCCCCCATTCCGTCCCGTTGCTGCGCCCCACTCCCACTGGCTTGCCCGGCGCTCCTGGCACATGCGAGGCATGGCGTGACCTGGCTTTGCATTCGTTGTCCCTTCACACCAGAGCACTCTGTTCGGACACGCACAGCCCGGTGCCACCTTCTCAGCGATGGCCCTTGCCCGGCCCCGACATTTCCAGTCCCACTGACCGCACTGTGCACACTGGGCTGCTGCAGTGCCACACGCGGGCCTCGCCGCAGCCTCCCCTGCCCGCCCGCCATCCGCTCTGGGTCCTGGTTGTCCCTTCACGCGCCCCGCCCTGCTCCGCTGAGCGCCCCCACCCTCACCACCACTCACCATGTCCCTGGCATCTCGGTCCTTCCACAAGCCCAGATAGCCCTCAGGTGAGCAGGTGGGAGTTTTCCCTTGGCCTCATGGGAAAGCATGTTCTCGTGTGTTACACGCCCCGCCAAGCTGCAGCAGGAACCCACTTTCCAGCCTGCAGCGCTGGGTTTACCTTGCACCACACAGAGGTGCACACGTGCTGCTTAGATTAAACTGCTGGTTAGGCGTGATCACTCACACCTGACGAAGGGCCTGCTCACAGCCACTCTGGTCCATGCATGCGAATGTAGCTGTGGAAATACAGCTGCTGTGTGAACTTGTTGTGTCCACTTCCAACATCAAGCTGAAGAGACAGAGATTTGAAGTACGAACAGCCCAGGACAGAGAAGTGGGCACGCACATGTGCACACATACACACATACACACACACACACAGCCCTAGACAAAAAAAAAGGTGCATGTTCTTGGCGCTCTAGAAAGTGAAATGCAAAGTGCAAGGGTTGTTTTGTTCCTGTGACTAATATTTCCCCTCCTCCTGCCTTTTCCGTGTTCCGCCACCCCACTCACCTGGGGATGACCCTGCATCTTCTCCAGCCACCTCGTCCACTCCATCTAGTGACTCATCACCTGCCAAGCCCCCCTCCCATGCTGCTCCCTGCTTCCCTCCACGGCTCACTTCTCATTCCAATCCCCACCACTCTTGTTCTGGGAGAAGGAGGCCGGAGTCTGTCCTCACCGACAGCTGCCTACCCCTGCCACAGGGGGCTTCTTGAGGGACAGCTCTGACATGCGCTGTCCCTGTTCAACACCACGCGTAGCTTCCCCTTTGCCTGTGAAGTCAAGCGCACCTGGCTGGGCGCTCAAGCCCCCCACGCTGGTTTTGTCTCCCACCGGATTGGCACTCTGTTTGCAACGCCCACCTTTGACTTTCCACTGACGCGGCCCTCTTACTGTTGTTGCAGGGTTCAAGTCCACGACGAACACAGGCCTGGAGGCCTCTGCTCCATCACTACCGAGCCCAAGAAGGCCCAGCTTCTGGGGGCACCAGGGCCACCTGGACTTTGGAACTCGCATTACTCATTTCTGAGACAGGCCCTCTCCTCCCTTGGACTGTGTGTGTGAGGGCCGAGGCCTGGCAGAGGCTTCGCTGTCTCTTCCCCATCAAGTGCCGGGTCTGGCACAGGCAAGCAGGCAGGAAAGTCATGCGCAGCGATTCCACTCCTGGGAATCTACCCAAAGGACACAGAAGCACTCATTCAAAGGGATGCCTGCAGTCCTGTCTTCACGGTAGCACTACTTACAATAGCCAAGGAACACTACTCAGCCATCAAAAAAGATAAACTCATGTCATTTGAGGTAACGTGGATGGGACTGGAAGGGATCATGTTCAGCGAAATAAATCAGAAGAAAAAAAAATATTGATGGTCTCCCTTACAGGAGGAACACAGTGGGACCAAACAAAGGGTCAGGAAAAAAGACAAAGTTTTCAGGCAGACCACAGATCTGAGGCAAACTGCAGGGGCGGGCGAGAGAGGGGGTTCAGAAGAGGGGAGGGAAGAGCGCAAGGGACTGTGGTGATGGTCACAGGTGATGGCGTAGTGGGACGTTTATTTATTTAGACCTGAGGGGAGAAATCAAATACTGTACAAAAATAAACAACGATGTGAGAAAATAAAATAAATTAAAAAAATAATAAAATAGAAAGAAAGGCAGCAGCGGCTGGTGGGGCAACTTCTCTGGCTCACAGGCCCAGGACCCTGCCTTTGCTTGCTCCCTGCTCTGCAGGAGCGCCCGAGGGCAGGAGTGGTGTGTGTGGGGGGAGGACAAAAATGCAGGACTCCTTGTTTTAGAAACAATTAAGAACTTCAAGAGAACCACAGCAAGCATGGACGCAAGCACACGGGGCCTACTGTGCACCCTGGAGTGGCTGCTCAGGACCCCCGAGACCTGAATCTGAGGGTAGCTCAGTCTTCTGTCTATCTTGTGCAGAGACCAAAAGAAGCCCAAGGCCCTCAGGGGTGTGGGATGCACACAGCAGCACGCAGGCCAGTCAGGAATATTGTCGCGTGCCTACTGTGCACCCCACTCATGTCAGTTTCCCAGATGTGGGGGAAATTGGACACTTCTTTGGCTTGGTTCGCTTTCCCTCACTGCGCTTACTCCAGCCGGGGTGGGGGTGTGCGGTGGGGGGGAGCCCTTCATAAATAAGCAAAGAATAGGCCTCCCCGGTGGCGCAGCGGTTGAGCGCTGGGTTGCGAAGCTGCCCGCAGCCTCTGCAGCGCTGGTTCGATCCCCGGCTGCTCCCCGGCCACCGGAGGAGGGTCCCACATGGCGCGCAGACTTCTCCTGCCGCCCGCTGCTCCCCTCAGCAGTGTACTTCTGTCCTTCTGCCTGCTCTGCTCCCCACTCTGGCTCTGGTGAATTCTCTCACCCTCCCGCGCTTCTGACTGTACCCAGTGCATGTATAAACAAAAAAACAAACAAACAAATAAATAAATAAAACATGCCTCTATAAAAAAAAAATAAGCAAAGAATAAACCTGTGCCCTAGGTAACAAAGCAGAGTGCCTGGGCAGGGGCTGGTGTGGGGGTGAGCCTGGCACAGGGAGCCTCTCCAGGGTGCCGGCACGTGGGCTGGGAGGCACATGGATCTTCTGGAGCAACAGGTGAAGGTGCTGCTAGTGTGTGGCAAGCCTCCATGATCCCCTCCCTCTGAAGAGAGTCTAGGCAAGAAAGCCCAAGTCCAGGGAGACCCAAGATGCGTAGAATCTGCCTCTGAGTGTGGGTGCTGACTGTCACACTGCGTCTCTGTTGGGGCACACCAGGAGCCAACTATGTGGAAAGATTGGCCCGTCAGTTACGGACAGGGAGTTTGCAGGGCTCATTTACCCCCATGGTCGCTGTCACACCCATCCCCAGGCAGGTGCTGGTGCAGGAGTAAACTGAGACCAAAAGTGGAGTGTGTTGGTGCCTCCATGGGGTGACAAGAAGTCCTGCAGTGGATATGTGGGCTTGGATGTGTGGCTAGCCCTCCTCCATGGCCAAGAATCTGGGAAAGGGGCCTGGGGAGTAGCACAGATCAGAGTTGGCTGGGGAGCCTTGGCCCCAGTCTCTCCTTCCCCTGTGCCAAGGAAGGTGCTCCGTTACCCAGCTGCCTTCAGGGGCAGAGCTCCAAGGTGTGCAGTGAGCAGGGCACCTCTGAGACCAGGAGCTGGGGGCAGCGATAGGGGGGCAACAGGTGGGGCTCGCAGGGGCCAGAGGCCACAGTCCACCACGCGGGCTGCGGGGGTCGCCAACGAGGCAGAAGTTCCCCACCCGCTCCGGCCCCAGTCCCTGCCCCGGCCAGTCTGGTCTTCATCTCCTTCCTGCCACTGCCGCGGGCTGCCAGTCTCCCGCCCTGGCCTGCGCGCAGCCCGCTCGCCTCCTCCTCCCCTGACCCCCGCCTCCCGCTGGCTGGTGGCGCCCCGGGGAGGCGCAGGGGGAGGGGGGCCGCGGGAACACGTCGTCGGAGATTTCCATCGGGGAAGGGGGCGGGGCCGGACGGGGGAAGGAGGCGGGCGAGCGGGGGGCGTGGACGTGGGAGCCACAAAACCCTCCCGCCGCGCCAGCTCAGCCAGACCGAGCGCTGCGACCTCGAGCAGGTGGTCGCCCCGGTCCCCATCACCATGCGGCCCAAAACTTGTCCTGATCCTGCTGGGGCTGGCCGTCCTCTTCCCGTCGGGGTGAGTCTCCCGCCCAGGACCCGGCGCCCCGGGAGCCCCGCGCCTACGTAGCCCCGATCACCTCGCGGGTCCTACATCCCCTCGACGCGCGGCGCCCTGGCCCCTGAAGGGGTTCGGGAGGCTGGGGGAGGGGGGAGAAGGAGGACCATGCCTGGCCGCTAGCGTCCCGGACTCCGGCTTTCTCCACCCCTGTGGCGGGGATCCAGCGCCCCTCACTTCCCGAACCTTCCGTGGGAAGACGCGTGCGGGGTCTGGATCCGGGCAGGCTGGCCCTTGTTGGGGGGGGGCGGCGAGCAGGGGCACTTGGGGCCGCGGCACCCCGAAAGGCACACGGGCTGGGAAAGCCGAACTGCGGCCAAGATGTTTGAGTGTCGCTCAGACCGCCCTCCCGTTCAAAAATCCATCTTTCCCCTAAGCGCCTGCTGGGTACCAGGCAGGGCGCCAGCAACTTTGCCTTCACTTGCTTCCCTTCCCGCCACTGCGCTCCGTGCCAGTCCCGGGCGCCAGCCCGCGTTCGGTCCCGGGGCTCCGGCCCCAGCTCCCCCGCACCCCCCCTCCGCGCCCCCTCGGCTGCCCTCCCCTGCGCCTTCATTCTCCCCTTCCGAGTCCCCGCGGGGTCTGGGGCAGACCAGGGCCCGGCCCTGGAACGTCCTCTTCAGCTGGTGCAGTAGGTCCGGGGTTTCTGTGGCCCCCTGAGCAGCCGCTTTCCCGCATACCCTCTGCCCCTGACGCCTGGCGGGGTAGCTTTCCCTTGCCGTTTCGGGCTTTTTACAGTGGCGCAGATTGTTTAGTATTTTGAGAAGTTTCCTGCTAGGTGCGAACTGTCACAAGTTACTGAGCTCGTCTCCTCTGGGAGCGTTCTCGAAGTTTCCATGGCTTGCTTATCTGTTTTGCGGGGACGGCTGCACCTCCCACCCCTGAAAGCCTTAACTGCTGAGGGAGGGGCTGTGTGCCTCCCCCGGCACAGGGCCTCGGGGCCTCGCCGGTGCCCTGAGGGGCGAGCTGTTGGGGGGGGTGGTTACCAGGGCTTGGTACTATTTCTAAGTGCGTGCTAGGAATTTCCAGTCATCACCTCCCTCCAGATGTGATCAGGACTGGTCGGAAAAGCTTACCTGGTGACTAGCTAGGGCAAAGCAGGGTTGGGGGGAAGGGAGGGGGAGCTGAGAGGAAAACAGCCAGGAACAGGGGCTATTGATATGGAATTCAGCCTTCCAGCCTGGGGAAGGGCTGCAGTTCCTGCTTCTCTGGCCTTGAGGCCACTGGCTGGGGAGGCACTGCAGGGTGTGCCTGAGGGTGCCACACAGGGCACTACACCTCTCTCTGGTCCAGGCTCAGCCTCAGATATCTGGGCACAGCCCTTCCCCCACCGGGGCCTCAGTTTGTGAAAAGTAGGGTTGATGTGGCAGGGAGCAATCCAGCTGCCCTTCTCTTGTTCCCTTCCCTCCCCCCAGCCAGTTGAAGGACCATTCTGGCTGGGGGGGCAGGATGAGGCTGTTTGGCGACTGTTCGGGTTGTGTTATTTTTACTGACCAAAGCTAATTGTAAAATGATGGCAACCTGAGGGCCCTCTGCCGCCATTTTCACTGCAGATAGTCTGAGGGGTGGGGGAGCATCCATGGTCTCCAGGGCTTTTTCCTTTGCCTCTTCAACCTTGGGGTTCTTGCTGTTGGCTCCAGACATCTGGGAAGGGCTGCTACAGATGTTTGGGTGGTCTTGACTGGCAGTGTCAGTCCTGAATCTGCCATGTTCCTGGCCAAGTGGCTCACTTTGCAGGGTACCAGCTGGGGTTCTTCCTCCGCCCCCCCCCCACCCCCGCAGCGCTGGCTGGCATTGTTATTCAGGGGTGGGGTGAGGTGGGGGTGTCTCAGATGACATCTCAGGATGTGGTATTTGAAAATAGAAACTACCTTTCCCATGTCCAGTTCTCTCCTTGCCTACAGCGGGAATTAGCCACTTCAGACATGAGAAATGGCATAGGCTTGGCACATCTGTATGCCAGTTAAGCAATTCTTAGTGCTTGGAATACTGCGGGAAGTGCATTTAGCTGCTCCAGTTGGCCCTGCCTTGGTCTGCAGCACAGAAGCCATGTCTATTCTCCTGCCCTGTTAACCCCTTAGTTTAGGAAGCAGGGGACCTGGTGGGTTTAAAAACTATGATCCTTTTCAAAGTGTAACATGACGGTAGTAGAGAGATCACGAATGAATAGCTCAGGTCTCCAGCCCAGGTCTCAGGTCTCCAGCCCCTAGGCCCGGAAATAGAACATTGCCATTGCTGTGCCCTCCCGACTCCCCAGCCAACCCCCTCACCCCATGCCCCTCCCCAGAGAAAAGTATCCTCCTGCCTTCCAGCATCCCAAATTAATTTTAATGATGGCTTTTAAAAAGGCTTTTAATTTTATTTTTTCAAAGATAAATAAATCGAGGGGCCAACAGAGTGAATCCCCAGGTCCCCATTACTAGCCCGTTAATTACGACTCATGGCCCTTCTTGTTTTCTCTTGCCCCCACCCACTCTCCATTTCCAGCTTAAATCATTTGAAAGCAAATCTCAGTCATCACAGTGTTTCCCACGTACTGATTTTAGGATGTGTTTCTAGTCAGAAGGACTCCGAAAGCGTAATAAAATACCACCACTATGCCAGATGTCTTCATGCCGAAGAGACTACCCGGGTTCAGGCCTCCCCACTTTTGTGTCAGGGTGTGTGTTGGCTTCATTGGGCTACAGCCTGCCTTTCCAAATCAGTGGCCACATAAGGTCCGTCTGTTAGCAGGTCTTATCAGCCTTTTCCTTTTTAAAACACTTTATAGAATGAGCACATATAGAGGAATCAGCTCAACTCATACGTGCATACCTGATGAGTTGTCTCAAAGTGACCACACCCGTCTGGGGACACCCACCGCAGAAGCCCCATGCCCTCTTCCTTACTGCCGCCAAGTACAGGTGGCACCACCCTAGCTTCTAAGCCCATCGCAGAGCTCCCTGCATTGGCAGATGGCCTTTAAGTGTTTTGCTCAATTTAATTCTTTCTTTGGTGGCGTGCATGGCTGGGGCAGGTGGCTTGGGCCCTGCCAGCCCTCTGTTTTTTGGATGAGTGTCTCTGGGCACGCACCTGCCTTTTCTCACTGCTTACAGGTCCCCCAACCGAGACTCCGCGCGGTCAGTGTCACAGAGGCCAAGCAGTGCTGAAGATTCCCACAGCGTTCAGCCCCCTCAGAGAGGCTGCTCTGCTTTCCCAGCATTCATCAGGGGCCCCGCACTGCTGGCCAGCAGACTGGAGGCCAGGGCTGGGGGGTGCTGCTGATTGGACAGAACACAAGCACCAGCACCCTCTCCCTTCCTTTTACATGGTTGTAAACATAACCGACTTGGTCATTTCCATGACTTTTTAAAATAAGGAATTTCCATGAAAGAGGGGTGGCGGTAGAGTTCCCAACAAGCAGCATGATTTAGAGGCGCATAATGAGTTTCCTCTGTTGCCGGCTCTCTTTATCCCCTGGGGTGCCCCTCCCAGGAGGCAGCAGCTGGGACCTTCCCTGTCGAACCCCAGTGAACTGAGCTGCCGTTTTTGGTTCCTGTGCTCTAGGATCAAAGGACCCCATGTTGAGGGGGAGAAAGAATCCCCTGCCCCTGATGACCACGTCTACGGCCCTCAGCTCCCGGGTCCCGTAAAGCTCCCGCCCGAGGACAGCGAGACCACCGCGGTGGGTCTCCCCAACACAGACAGCCAAATGCCATCGGCCAGTGAAGTCCTGGACTCGATACTGCGCAACTACGACCACAGGCTGCGCCCTGGCATCGGCGGTGAGTAGCGGGGCATGGCCCTGGAGGGGAGGGGGCCGCGGCCCGGGGGCAGGGCAGGTGGGCGAGAGCCTCTGGTCGGGTAGGGGATAGCAATGCTCCTCTCAGCGATGCTGTTGACTTTGGTCTAGACGCTGCCCTTCTCTCACCTTCAGTTTCTCCAACTACAGAATGAGATGCCTGGTGAGGGCCTTGCCCCTCGAGGCGTGAACTGGCTCTTACCGTGAGAGAACACAGAGAAAGCAGCACTGAGTGTTAAAACCTTCCCTGTCCCCCCGTCCCTTGCCCCATGTCCCTTTGAGACTCTCACGCCCTGCCACGTCTGTGTCCTTTACAGAAAGGCCCACTGTGGTCTCCGTCAGGCTCTCCGTCAACACCCTCGGGCCCATCTCTATCATGGACATGGTGAGTACTGAGCTTCGCTTGCTGCAGCTCTTCGCCCGGGCGCCGAGCTGTGGGCTGTTCCCGTTCTTGCTTTTCTGAAAGTTGTGTGTGTCCAGGGCAAGAGTTTGGGCGGCGGGGGCGGGGGAGGATTTGAATCACCTGACGTGAGGAGGGAGCTGACGTGAGAAGGTAAGTCCTTGCTGCCTGAAGAAGACCTCCAGAGTCGCGGCCTGGTCTTCCGGCCCGTCATTCAAAATAAAAATAATAAAGTGACTTTCAACACCAGGTGCAATGGCTCTTTTCTTCTCATACCGATTTCTGTGGGCTTAGGGCTCGAGTTACCACACTCCCTCAAGAGTGCGTCTCTCATTTCCTGGCTTCTTTCTCTCCTCGGCCACTGCTGTCTGAGTGTCAAAACTGTCTCCCCTTGGCCTTCGTTACTTCCCACCAGAAATATGCCAGTACGCAAAGGCCTAGCTGTCCCGATCCCAGCAGCTGTGAGCTTCCTGCAGTCCGGAGCCTGCTTAAGGTTTCAAGTTCCGTCCCACACCCCAGCAGTAAGGCCCTCTGTGACTGGAGACACGGAGTGCTCTGTTTTTCTCTCTTTGCACCCCTTTCAGGATCACATGTTCTAGTCACAGTAGAGCCTGGGGGTTCCCAGTCCACCTTACACCACTGAGCTGTTGTTGCAGTTCTTTCCTGTTTGAGATGCTATTGCTTTAATTTTCTACTTGTCATAAAACCTTATCCTTCAGGGTCTCACACAGATGACATCTCTTCTATGGCATCTTCCCTGACCTCCACAGCTATTAATTGTTTCCTTCTGACTCACACCACAGTCGTGTCTTTGACACGCGGATCTTTCTAGCTTATACACAGTTGTTTACCTGAGCGGCCCTACCTCACCACATTGTAATTATGTGCTCTGTGTCTGTTGTTCTCTCAACTGTGGGCTCCTTGATGTCAAAGATTCAGTATATGTTAGCTGAGCAAATGAATTATGAAAGCTGTTGTGCAAAAGTCACTATCATCTGCAGAGCCTGCTAATGAGGACGCCTGGGTGGCCAGCCCTTCACAGCCATAAAAATGGCCTGGCCTGGGCCCAAGCAGTTTTTGCACAGCCACTGGTACCCAACAAGCACCACACAACAGGGCGAGCTCAGAATCTAGGCACCGAGGTGAGACTTGCAAACAGATACTCAAAGACAAGTAAGCATTCATGGAAGATCAAGTGTCTACATAGAGTGAGTGGAAAGAGGAGGTGCCCCCAGGGTGCTTTGTTTGGCTCCCTAGGCCCCAGCATAGGTATACTTCTGTGTTGCCCTCAGGACACTGTTGAAACAACAAATAGGCACTGATTAGCTCATTGTGAATTCAGGTGTGGCTTAGTTGGGCCCTCTGTTTCAGGGTCTCTCACAAGGTTGCAGTTCAAGTATCCAACTGGGGCTCAGGTCTCATTCCAAGACTCCACTGAGGGAGGATCCACTTACAAGCTCTGACGTGGTTGTCAGCAGAATTCATTTCCTGAGCTGTTGTCTGGAGACCTCCCATCATCAGCCGTGTGGGCCCCTTCACAGGGCAACTCACGACATGGCTGCTGGCTCCTCTCACAGTGAGAGAGAGCGAGCATTAGAAAAGGTGCTCAAGATGGAAGCCATAAGTTCTGTGATCTGATTTTGGGCATAGTGCAAGCCATCTCTTCGCTTCTATGATAGTCTGTTCATTAGAAGCAAGTCATTAGGTCAAGTGTGGGTGAACACCAGCAGGTGAAGACCAGTGGAGGCCATTTTAGATTCTACCTACCACACATTGTTCTCCTCTAACTCCTAGAATGGAATGTTGGGAAATGGGAGGACATGTGTGAGAGCAGACAGCTCTTTTTGAGTTTCTGTTAACATTCTAAGGTTATTTTCCCGATGCCAGATTGACTTTTTGCTCTTACCGATGTGCTTACCTCTAAGTGAGTATGAACTTAACGAGCTGTTTGGTTATGACTATGTAAACTAAGAAGCACTAGTTTCCGAGAAAGAGCCAGAGGCTGAGGTCTTAAAGGGAAATGCACCCTTCAGGCCGTCGGTGTGGAGATGCAGAAAGTGAGCTGGAGTAGCGGGCAATTCTTTGCTACAATCTCTTTGCTATTTGCATAAGGTATAATTTGGGAAACTGTTTTCTATCATCTGCCAGAACCCTGTGGCAGCAGACAAGTAGCAGCATGGAGCCGACTGTCTTCTCTCCTTGCTTGACCAGTCGCGCTTGGTCCTCATCTGTGTGCTTTTCTGTCCTGCCCACCAGGAATACAGCATCGACATCACCTTCTACCAGACCTGGTACGACGAGCGCCTCCGTTACAACAGCAGCTTGGAGAGCTTGGTGCTTTCCGGCAACTTGGTGAGCCAGCTGTGGATCCCAGACACCTTCTTCAGGAACTCGAAGCGCGTCTACGAGCAGCTGTTCTCCGAGCCGAGCCAGATGGTCCGCATCCACAGGGACGGCAAGGTCTTGTACACAATCAGGTAGGTCAGGTCCCTGCAGTCTTATCTCTTGGGACTCGCCCTCCCCTTCTGAGAGCTGTCACCTAAGACCCAGGGGCTGAGGCCTCATCCTGAGTGATAGTTCCAGGCCCCTCCATCCTTCCTAGACTGTGAGCTCAACCCCCTCCCCTATAGACTAGGGCCTCAGAATAAAAAGACACTGCTGAGGGCCACACACCAGGTTCATGGCAGAGCAGGACTGGCGCCCGGACACTTGGCTTCCGACCAGAGCGCCCCCCCCCCCGCTCCCCCGCCCGGGATGCGCTGGTATGACTGCATTGCCCGGACAATTCCATCCCAAGCGGACACTGGATGTTAAGACACGTCCACGGTGGTGGAATTGTCCAGGCGGAGTAGCAACACTGCGGTTGGACAGGTGCTAAGAGCAGGCTGGCTGCTCGAATGCCTGATGGGGAAGTTTGGGTAGTGGGGGGCGCTGGTGGGAGAGGGGAGGGGTTGTGCTGGGCAAGAAGCAAGCCCGTCTGAGTCAGCCTGTCCCTTCACTGACGGTGGAGACCAGGCTCTGGACCCTCCTGGCGGTTGTTCTCCTTTGTCTCTCCTCTGAGCTCTTTGTCACACCTCCCACCGCTGCCGCTCCTCGGTCGTGGGCTCCAGGCCTCAGTGCTGGGACCGGCCTAATGAGGCTCCTCTCTCCCTTCCAGGATGGGCATTGATGCTGGGTGTGCACTGCACATGTTCAAATACCCGCTGGACTCTCACACTTGCCCTCTGTCTTTCTCTAGCTGTGAGTACCTTCTTAGGTTTCTGGGGCCCCAGAGTCACTCTGGACCCCTTCTTTTTCTCATCCTTGCGCTTTGCATTTCTCTGCCTCTGCTTTTCTCCTGAGATGGCTTTGAGCTCGCCCAGAGCCTGCTACTCATTCTCATCTCCTTCCTGCTGACAGTGCCGGCTCCTCCCGCCCCCTTCCACCCCACCTCGAGTCAGTCACCTGCCTCTGAGTATATCTCAAGCGTGTCCCCCCCGCCTCGGCTTAGATCTTTGTCATCTTGCACCACTGCCTTCAGTGATGCCTTTGAAACAGAACCTGTCCAGAGCTAGCTACATCGACTCCGCCAAGCTCTGTCCCCCAAGCAAGCGTGTGGTTTCTGTGTTCCCATCTGCTTCACTGCAAGGAGCCATTGCCCGCTCAGTTTCTCAAGCCAAGAACGTTGGTGCTGCTTTTCCCTTCACCTCCCGACATGTAATCGCCCGATGCATACTGTTGTGGTTCCTTCCCGAGCCCCTGCTGATCCTGCTGTTCCCTGCGCTCTCACAGCCCCAGCTTTGACTCCTGCCTTCATTCCATCGCACCCGGAGGACTGTGCTGGCCTCCCTCCCTGGTTTCCCGCCAACGGACTAGTCTTGTCATGACTAGCGAGGCCCGGCTGAGGCATTAGCTGAGGCATTAGCTGAGCTAGGTCACTTCGTAGTCTCCAGTCCCTTCTGCACACTCATAGAGCGATTCTAGATTCCTCAGACTGACCCTCACGGTCCTTCACAAGCGGCCCTCGCTAGCCCATCCTGCACACCTCGTGCGGCCTCTGGGAGCCGGCCCTCCTGGACAACCCCTCACGGCAGGCAGTCCTGCCCGTGCAGAGAGTGCCCGGCCCTCCGCTTCCACCTCATCCACATGGAGAACATTTATTCCACTTTTAAGACTTAGGGAGAAGGCCACCTGCTCTATGAAGCCTTCCTGAGGGTGTCCCCAAGAGCTGTCCACCCTGTTTCCCCACCATCCCTTAGGCAGAGACTTCGCAGAGCACTTCCAAAAGCTACAGGTGTGCACTTACGGGCTCACTGGGGAAGCCTGAAGGCTGGCGGGCAGGGCTCCTGCCTCGCTCGCCTCGAGTTCCCAGCCCAGGGCCAGGCATCGACGAGGAAAGTGCTCGGTAAGGCACTTGCTGACCAGACTTCGGCCGTGAGATGAGGGAGGCCGAGGCCCGCAGCCGGCGAGGCCAGAGGCAGGGCCCACGGCTTTGCTCGTGTCCCTGCTGGGGGGCCCCCGGCTGGGCCTCGCGCTGTCGCCTGACCCCCGGCGTTGCGTTGCAGTCTCCTACCCCCAGGACGAGATGATCTATAAGTGGGAAGATTTCGAGCTGGAAATCAATGAGGAGAATTCCTGGAAGCTGTTCCAGTTCGAGTTCACAGGTGTGAGCAACAAGTCCGAGACCCTCACCACCATCTCTGGTAAGCGCGCCTCAGACGCAGGGCTGCGGCGGGCTCGCGGGGGTGGGTGGGGGGGTGGGGGGGGTGGCTGCGACGGCAGCCGTGCACACGGCTGCCGTAGACCCGTCCACGCAAGTAGCGTGGCTCGTGGCTCCCGTCTTGTGGATGCTGAGCACTTACAACTGTTTGCAGAGGAAACTGAGACTTCGTAACCATGCCTCAGTCTTGTCTGCAAAGAAGTAAGTGCTTTGCCAAGCCCCCGAGAGGGCAGGTGAGCCCGTCGGGCTTGACCGCCGTCGAAGCTGGCGGCTCACTCTGTCGCGCAGACCTTCCCTTACAACGTGTGGAGCCCAGCTGTCCTGCTGTGGGGGGCGCTTTGGGGGATGGGGCTCATGTGAGTTCTCCCCAGAACCACTCTGGGCTGTGGAGTGGGAAGCCAAGTCTGCGATTGGAGGCTAGCGTTCAGTGTCAGCCCGGTGACGGTGGGGCTGTGGAGACAGCCCCTGTGGCTGCTGCGTCTGCATAGCCACGTCGATTTTAAAGCGCAGGCTCCCGAAAGGCTTCATGATGGACTCCACAGAGACGCGGTGACCGTCGGGTTCCTGACCTTGCCCTGCCAAGAGCTAGAAGGGACAGTCTTGGGTTTCTTAGTAGCTTCCGACTTGGTATGAGCACCCGTGCTTGTGTTCCCAGGTGATCTGAGTGACGAGCCAAGGGATCTCCCCGGGGCTGCTCCCAGGGGAGCCCCGAACACCCTCTTCACACGCACTGACCAGGTCAACTCCAGAATGCGCATGGAGCCGGCCTCCCAACCAGGCGTTGGCCATGGGAGACGACTCCCTTTGCTTCTGGGTGGCTGGGCAGGGACTCCGCTTTAGCGTCACCCGTTGAGTTGGTCACGGCCAAGGGTGGCTCGTGCTTAGAGGCTGGAGCTTTGCTCGCACTGTGCCAGGTGGGGGCAGGGGCTGCTTGCTGAACCCTTTCCTTTTTCTCGGGGGCTTGGAGCTAGCGGTTCTGCTACCTTTGACCTGGGGTCCTTGCTCTTCGGGTCCTTGCTCTTCTGCCAGCTAACCTGGGCCTACCTCTTGCCCCTTTGCACTTCAGTTTCCCCAGACAGGTGGGGACCCATCATCAAAGGCGGCAGAGGAGACAAGGCCCAGGGGCTTTCAAGTCACTAGTGGTTCCGTTTAGTAGCTGGTTGCATATTGATTCAAAATGGCGCCCTAGTGACTACAAAGCCCCAGAGCCAGCATCAGCACCGAGTGAGGACAGTGGTAAGCACCAGCCCCGGGGGAGAGCGAACCTGTTTCTCTCCTGCCGGCTGCTAGTCGATCTCGACTTGTGGTTTCTCAGCTTTGACCGTGACCTTCGGGATTGGTCTCAGGCTCTTCCAGTAGGCGCTGGGCATTTCCCTGCATCTGGAATAGACTTGAAGACTCAGCTCCTGAGGGCTCAGAATGCAGGGGCAGCTTGCTACTCTGGCATCGTGGGCCTTAAAACCAAGAACTTCTGCTTCAGGAGGTGCTTGGGAAGCCTGGCCTTGCCCCCACAAGTGAGCCTTCACTGGGAGCTGCTGAGCCTCTGACAGAATCTTATCCATGATCAGGAGTTCACGTTCTTGCAAGGGCTTTCTTCCTTCTTCAGACATCAGGATTCTCCCCATTCACCTGGAATTCCAGTCTCTAGCGCTCCTGCCCATTAGGCGTTTTCCCCACAACCGCTCAAGCTCCCGGCAAGTCCCGGCGCTCTTCCACAGGGCAAGGTCATAGGACTGGAGTGATGTTCTCTTATGGGCCGCCGACCCAAGTATCGTTTCCTTCCCTTGTTTTCCACAGCTTTCGGTCCCCTCGCTTCTCGTGCCAGTCCTCTGGACACGCCTTTCTAACGCGCGCCTGCTGAGGCAGGCGAGGGCACAAAGAAGCATCCTTAGCTCTCTTTCCGCTTTGGCTCTTCAGCCCCAGATGCCCTCCTCCCCCTTAACCATTCTGCTCCACTCCTCAGGAATAGGAGAGTATGTGTTAGCATCCTTTCTCTCGGCCGTCAGAGACAAATTTCCATCTCTTGACAAATGAAGGATCTTCTTTGGCTGGAATAAATAGAGTAAAAATAGAAAAGGCCGATAGGATCATCAGTATTCTTGCCACAGGAATATATAAACTCAGCAGCAACTTGATAAGTACATTCTGGCCAGTAGACAAGGGTGAGTGGTCCCCGCACCAGTCGTACAGGAAGAGTTTTAGCCCCAGAGCTACTTTGGACACAGGTATTCCGGTGATCTCGGGCTACTTCCTTACATTTGTGCCAGAAGATTCTGAGAAGTCTTGCCCCTTGAGTGTCACTGCTGCCAAGGTGAGTAGGAAAGACTGCTCTTGTCATTCTGCTCTAACGTACCCAGATCTGCTGGGCAGGTGATCTACCCGAAATAGGAGGACACGAGGATAGGTGGGTATCTGGCCTGCTTTACCATGCTGTTGCCAGGCAGCAGCAAGTCACTGCCACCACTGGGTTCCAGGCTGGACTTGGATGGGCAGGAGTCAAGTGCAGGGGTCACATGAGCCGTGCCCCACAGGCATCTAGAAACCCCCCAGAACACCCAGAGTCCTCACGAGTGTGGCGCAGAGTGTTTGCGGTACGTGTGTCCGGGAGTCAGGCAGCATGAAGGTGCAGCAGAAAATGCCAGGGCGAGGTGAAGGTTCTCATCAGGTGCGGTAGCAGCCATCCGTCTAGGGTGAGGGCCAAGGTCAAGGACATGATACTCAAATGAATGTGAAGACCTCAGTCCGCCTTGTGGATGTATACTCTGCATATCTGACATCTAGAGGGCTGACTGAAATTTTCACTTTCAGCTAATTCTTCTTTTTCCCCAAACACTTGATTTGGGCTAGGGTTGCAGAGAGAGGGGAAGTCCAGGGTTTGAATATCGGTATAAACAGGGAAGCTCTCTCAGGAAGTTCGAGAGGAGATGTGAGGTGAATCTGAGATGAGATGTGAGGTGAGCTGAGGGTAAGATGTCAGCTGGAGCCAGGTCACAGCAGGCCTCCTGTGTCAGCTCACAGAGACCCATAGATGGGCTGCTATGGCTGCTTGTGGAGTGGGGAGTGGCTGTTGATGGACCAGTGCACACTGAGGCAATTCACCAGCGTTGTGAACATAGGGGAAGGAGGCCAAAGAGATTCTGTGCCCTGCTCCTCCCTTGACCACAGTATAGGTCCCCTGGGCTGTCTTCCCTGTGCGTGTGTGGTTGGGGCGGCGATGCAGACCAGATAGTGCACCTTGATGGACCTGAAAGCCTCAGTCAGCCGTCTGGACATTAGCTACGTGGTCCTGATAGCTAGAGGGCTAACTGATTTTTTCACTTTTATATGACTCCTTTGCCACAAGACGGACATGGGCTGCGCGACTATGAAATGAGAAAGAAGCCATCAGGGGCCTGGCCCTAGCTTAGGTCTCACACGGCCTTACGCTTGGCAGTGAGCGCCACCTCTGGCTTCTCGCCATCCTCCATGTTCTCGCCATCCCCCGCTGTGGTGGGGACCCTATGAGCCAAACTGTGGGGAGTGGAGACCCTCACGGACGCCGTCAGGCAGTGCTTCTTGTGTGTGTCTTCCAGGTGACTACATAGTCCTGACGCTGTTCTTCAACGTGACCCGGCGGTTTGGCTTTGTGGCCTTCCAGAACTATGTTCCTTCTTCTGTGACCACCATGCTCTCCTGGGTGTCCTTTTGGATCAAGAAGGACTCTGCTCCTGCCCGCACCTCTCTTGGTAAGTGGGTTGGGGGCCACCGCAGGGCGCGTGGCTGCCTGTCCTCACGGCGATGCCCTGGGCTCTCGGTCGCTGACCCCCGCCCTCCCCTGTCCCCACAGGGATCACCTCTGTCCTCACCATGACCACCTTGGGCTCCTTCACCCGGAAGCATTTCCCCCGCGTCTCTTACATCACTGCCTTGGATTTCTACATTGCCGTCTGCTTCGTCTTCTGCTTCTGCGCGCTGATGGAGTTTGCTGTGCTCAACTTCCTGACCTACAACCAGACGCGGTCCCGCCGTGCGCCGAAGCTCCGCCATGTACGAGCTGGGTCTGCAGCGGCGGCCAGGCCTAGCCGGAGGGAGGCCCGGGCCTCACGGCGCGTGGGTAGCTGGCTTGCCGAGCCGCAGGGGCAAGTGGGGGGGTGTCGGATCAATCCACTCCCCCACGTGAGGTGGGGGGAACGGGGGCCAGGAAGCTGTGCGCCAGGGACAGACTCTCCAGACAATGCTGAGACGGCACTTGGGCTCGGCCCCTCTGGTGCTTTCTCTCACCTCATCCCTGGTCTGCTTTGTAGTCTCGCAGCCTCACCCGCGCCCGCGCCGCCAGACGTGCCCACACCCGTGCCCTGCAGCAGGAAGCCTTTGTGTGCCAGGTGGAAGAGGCTGAGGAAGAGGAGGAGCAGGAGCTGCAGCTGGAGCACCTGGCCTGCCCAGCCCAGCAGTCGCTGAGCCTGGGGAGCACCCGGCGCACTGGCGGCTGCTGCAAGTGGTACCATAAGTACCTGTGCATGGTCCCCTGCTGCCAGGGTGGCCTGTGGCAGAAGGGCCGCCTGTACATCCATGTGTACCGCCTGGACAACTACTCGCGTGTGCTTTTCCCCGTGACCTTCTTCTTCTTCAATGTGCTCTACTGGCTCGTCTGCCTTAACTTGTAGGTGCCGGCGGGCACCCTGTGGGGCAGCCTCCCAGTTCCCCGGGGAAAGCCCCATGCCCTTTGCTAAGGGAGTTGAGGGAAAGCAGCAGCAGGAGGAGCAGTTACAGGGTCTCTCCCTCCCCGCAGCCCCATCCCAACCTGCAGAGAACGTTCTCTGCCAGCCCTCTCCCCTGCCCAGCCTATCCCGAGTCTCCTTGGCAGCTCGTTGCCAAGGCCATCGGCCCACTCCTGTTCTTCAAGGGGCATTTATGATGCTCAGGCCCTGAAGCCCCTGGCCGTCGGTGCGTGTGCGCACGTGGGAGCAGGTGGGCTACCTCCCAGCAGTGCCGACACCCACTGCCTTTTCCAGGAACCCAGTACTGCTCTCGTGGTGCTCCCGGCCCAGTTCTGGCTCCAGCCTCAAAGTTCGCAGACCAGCTGCCTGCCTGTTATGCCGCCACCTTACGGTGCTGGGCAGCAGTGTGGGGGAGGGGCTGTCCTCCAGTCAGATGATTATATTCTTGGTTCTATCTCCCTGCCCGCCCTCCCACAGCAGATAGGCAGCCGCTGGCGTTATCCCTTTAGGCGCAGGGAGCCAGCAATTGAAGGTCTTTGGGATGTGTCCCTCCCTCTGCTGCTGAGACACCTTCCTCTCTCCACCCAGCCTCTCCATCCGCACCACCTGTCCAGTGCCATACATCCAGCGGGTATCTATTTTTGTGTGTGATAACAGTAATGACCCCTGCTTTGTATGCCACCTTCACCTTCCTCCTTGACCCCCGTGACTCTTTCTGTAACTTCCCCAGTGACTTTCCCGCCCTGACCCAGGTGCTAGGCCATGTGGCTTCCCAGGGCCAAGGACGTAAGGGGACTCTGGTTTGCAGCTGGCATGCCTGCATTGAGCAGTGCCCAGCTAAGGCCCAGCATGAGAGCTTCGCTGCTGCCTTGGCCCTGGGGCCCATGAGCCGGTCCACTCCTCCCCGGGGCACTCGCACAACCACAGTCAATCAATTGAATTCCCTTAAATTTGTATAGCGCTTTACCTTTTGCAAAGCACCTTTTGACAAATCATTTCTATTTTGAGCCTCGTAGCCCTGTGATATACTCAGGGCAGGATTCTTAGCCCCACTTCGCAGATGAGAACCCAGAGGCACAGATTTCTATGGGACCATTGATCTTACTGGAAACTACCCAAGAACCCACTGTCGCCTTGTAGATCATAGGACAGGGCAGCTCTGTTGATGATGACTTGATTCTTTGGTCTCTGCTGACACCCCAGTACGCCACCCGAAGTGGCAGCCTGTCTGCCCTCGCCTGCTCAGTTCCTAGGCCTCAGGCCTCAGACTGCCCCCAAGACCGAAACTCTCCTGGCCCTGGCACCCCAGTGAGTGAATTTGGACACGCCCCAATGCTTGTATATGCTGAATGAAATCTGTGTCTGTATTTTATCGGGGGTGGGTGGGTGGGATCCATCTGCTTTTTGTCACCATCATGTGAAAAGGGGAAATCTATCAATAAATATATCAGCAAAGTACAAAGTGCAGCTGTTTTCTCTGCGATCAAGTCTGCGCAGCTCAGCTTTAAAGCCTCCATTGACCCAGACCTCGGTTGCCCTCTCCCACCTGTGACTCCCAGCCCCACCAGCCGCACCGGGAGGCCCTAAGGTCCCTCTTCTGCCCCCCTCTCCAGGGGAGCTGCGGGGAAGAGCATGACCATGTGGCGGCCGCCTCTTGTGCCCTATGCCCCTGTTCCGCTCCTTGTTCCTCTAGTCCCCATCATTCTTACCCCTACCTGGACGCCTAGAACATGGCTGGAGACCGTCAGAAACCACCCCCCTCGCCCCCACCATGTAGAGACTGAGCCGCTGCAACACAGAGAGATGTGCCCCCACGGCAGGTCACATACCATTGCTGTAGGCCACAGTAGTGGAGTGAGCAGAGACCCCAAACCCCCCACGACCCTGTGTTGGTTGGGAGCAACCCTGGAGATTCTTCACTTCATTTGTCATCGATGACATGGGCTCTAAGGGAACTCGATCACATGAGCCACAAGGAGACAAAAACGGTAGCGATTTTGCCATAAAGTTTTGAAGAGTTGCCCTAACACTTTCCCTATTAGAAACGCATGTTGCTTTACTGTATTTTCTGATGTCCTAACCCACGGTGGACTACACAAAGCAACTGTGGACAGGGAAAATCATTCCTCACTTGGGTCAGGGGATGCAGGAAAAAGAAAAGGGAGCCGGGCCCTGAGCGCGGGCGCTGCGGGCATGTCATGTGCGCCCCGGGCGAGCGCTCAGATGGAAACGCATCTTGAAACAAGTAGTGCTAGCCGGGCTCCTGAGGCACGCTGCAGCAACGCTAGGAACAAACAACATTCTCACCATTTGTAAATGTTATAAAGCTCATGCGAACAGTTCTGTAAAAATGAAGTCGCTGAAACCATAACTAGGCACATAATATCTAAACAAGAAAATCAATAAAGAAAAAACCCGCAAACTACAATGTGTGGGATGCGGCCGGCAGGGCGCTGGGAGAGAGAGTCATAATTGAAGTGTTTCCACTGCTAAACACAATGGAAGAGACATGACTTACACTCTGCAATCTAGAAGTTGGGAAATAGGGTAAAATACATTACACCGTCAAAAAGTGTTGTGGAGAGGGAAATTTTACAAAATAAATATCGCAGGGAGAACTACTTGATCATTTGAAAAACAATAAGGGATTGTGCTAAGCAAATAAGTCAGAAGGAGAAAGACGAACACTGGAGGGTTTCATGCGCTTGGAGCAGACACACCCACAGACCAAGTGAAGTCAACAAAGCCTGGCCTCTGCAGACAGGTGGGGAGCAGAGATGGGGGAGCAAGGCAAGCAAGGGGAGCAAGGGGCCCAGTGGCCTATGGGGACGGGTTTTGGGTGTCTTGGTCATAGGTGGGGTGTGGTCCCGGACACAACAGAAAACCACACAAATGAGAAACAAGCAAAAAATCTGGGTCTGTAGCTTTCTTTACATTGAAATTATAGATGAATCAAAGATTTTAAGACTTCAAGGAAACCAGAAGATGATATGGGTGAATATGTTTACACTCTTAGGATGGAAAAGGCCATCCCCGGTGGTATATGGGGCACAGATAGTACCTGGCACAGCACGACCGCCCAGGGCCTGAAGACTTCACTTCAGTTGCCCAGGAAAGCTTCCCAGTGGCGGGAACTCTGCCGGTTCCAGCCGCCGAAGGCTGTGGTGGGGTAAACTTGGTCTGCAAGGACAGAGACTTGGCCAGTTCTCACCACATGACATTGCTGGCTTACAGAACAGAGAGATGCGAGCACTTCTAGCACCTTTCAGGGTAAGGGTGAGGGTCAGAGGGCTTCTTTGGAAACTTACAAAGACAACTTGATGCGCTGTGGTAGGACAGCAAACCTAGATGAGAAGCAAATCTAGAACCTGAGAGTTAGATTTGCAAATATCCAGAGTGATTGAATGCCCAGCTGAAGCAAGAGCCCTGCCCGGGAAAAGCTGACATTCTGGAACAGAACGGGGTCGTGTGGGGTGTGCCTTCAAGGCCTGAGGCTGTGGGGACGTCCTTTCTCCTCCAGGCAACAGCTGTGCCCTTCAGGTGCAGTGTGACTTCCTTCCCTGGCTGCTGCACGATAATGAGCGTGAAATCACCGCGCAGTCCACTGAGGTGCTGTCAGCTCGCATAGAGGAGGAAAGTGGCCTGAATGAGCACCAGGAATTGGCCAGCATGGACCGGGACGATCCGGAAGACGGCCACTGGGAGTACGTTTCCAGGACGCTTTGTCACAGGCTGGAACATGAGAACGGGTCAGCAAGAACCCCTCGGCAAGGGGTCATGTTCTCAAGACATGAGATTTTTAACACCCTGGCAAGAACCCCAGGCAATGAGGCAAAATCTCGGTTAGGGTGGCTCTTAGAAGCCGAGAGTGACTGAGGGGAGTGTTGGTACGAATGGATAGATTAGGCCTGTCTGTGAGATGAGACCAGAAGACCCTCCCACCCGCCGCCCACATTATACTCCATGAGAGGGTCCAGAGGACATGCGATTCCTCCAGGCCACGAGGAAAGCAGTGGTCAGAGAGGTATCAACATCACTAAGCAGTTGACTAGTAGTTCCCACAGACCAGAGCGGACCAGAGCAAACACATCAGCCAGGGGGGCTAACATCAGTGAGGAGAAAGCCCTAAAGCGGTGGAGAAACAGACACCTAGGGACAGTGCTTAATCACTAGAAGCTGGAGTCTGAAATAAATTCAGTTATCAAGGACAGAGGGGAGATGAGGGAGTTGACTGGCAGGAAGTTGTGGTTAACAGGACAAAAATAGATGAACAGTCACTTAAGGTGCTATTAAAAATCTATAACCAGAAGGCACAAAAACTGGAAATATTATTCATGGATCTGAAGAATCAATATTATGAAAATGGCCATTTTACCTAAACAATATACAGACTCAATGCAACCCCTTTTGTATTGCCAATGCCATTCTTCACAGAAACAGAACAAAAAAATCCTAACATTCGTATCATGCTCCCTGGATTCAACTATACTATCAGCTACAATAACCCAAACAGCGCGGTGTTGGGAGAAACAAAACAGGCGTACGGACCAATGAACTAGAGCCACGAGCCCAGAACTAGAATCCCACATATCCGGAAAACAAATTGATGACAAAGGAGCCAAGAACGTCCAATGGAAATAGGAAAGTCTCCGTAACAAACGGTGCTGGGAAGCTGGACAGCCGCATGTGAAGGTGTGAGCGTAGACTGCTATCTGAAACGGCACAGCAAAATCAGTTCAAAATGGTTTAAAGATTTGAACGTAGGACCTGAAACTGTAAAAATGCATAGAAGAAAACATAGGTGATAGGCTTTTTGACAGCAGCCTTAGTGAAGTGTTTGTGGATTCATCTTCAACAGCAAAAGAAACAAAAGCAAACACAAGTCAATGGAGCTACATCCAACTAAAAAGCGTCTGTTACAGAGAAATAACCCCTCACTAAAATGAAAACGCAGCCTTGAAACTTACGCAGTGCTGTAAACGAATATTGTTCAATACAAATTAAAAAAAAGGGCAAGAATGCAAGGGAGATGAGGGCGAATCCCCAAATTAAAAAGTCACAATGCTTTGCTCTGTTCTTGGCCCTGAGGCAATTCACAGAACTCAGACCCTACTCACTAAATAGGTTGCCCGCTCTCCAGGCGGCAGTAACACGCAACCCCTGGCAGGTGTACACCGTGACAACATCCCCACTCCTGCCCCAAAGGCTATCCCGGGCATTTCCTCAAAAGACTGTACAAGATGCCAAGACCTGTCAAGGACTATTGAGCGCGAGTCTGAACTGACGTCGGTACCAGAAGTTCACAGCACCATCGGATGCCCTGCCGAGCTGGGGCTACGGAGACGCATTTATAAATGGAATCCTAGGAGACTGCCGCTGGGGACTGAGTCTGCAGACACACTCGGCGAGCATCTTCCCAGACCTGTAACTGGATTTACTACACCTGGGGGTTGGTCTGTGTCCTAAGAGCCATTACAGTGGAAGGCCACGTGGGAACCCCAAAAAATGCCTTTCCCCAGACAAGAAAATAAAACCAAAACAACACTGCTCACCGTGTTGTGGGGAGGATTATTGCCACCGTTAAAGACGTCAGGCAAGGCCCCGTCCTAGCTCCACTTGATGTACCAGTCTGGCCCCTGGAGACCGTGTGGCTCCTGCATGGTGGCCGCCGATTGCCCCGGAGCTCGCCGCAGTGCAGGAAACAACGCTGTGCCCTCTTGTCGCCGGAGTGGGCCCACAGAGTCTCAGGAACGTAGTGCACAGCCATCGAGCCAGCCACTGAGCGGGTGGGTCTCTGCTCAATCACAAGAGGATAAAAAAGGAGTGGGCGGGTTAAGAACACATCTTCAAGTATCCCCAAGGCTTCGGTAACGTCCACACCGCAGCCATAATCAGAAAAGATCAAGCTGGAGGCTGGTGTGGGGAACAGCCTCCCCGTGACAGCGCCAGGCCGCCGGGAGAGCACGAGTCAGAGGAGCTCCGCAGCGTGTAGCTCTGCACGGCCTTCTAGCGAATGGGGTGCACTGTTTTCTTCATAGGGAGGAATGCTCTACAGGCCGTGGTGCTTCAGGAGAATTTGAGGAATCAAGAAACTTCAGTACATCCCCTGAGATGTTCCCTGTCCAGGTCAAGGGCTCTGCTCTTCGAGCAGCCAAGCTCCAGAAGTTTAGGATTCATCCTCCTCCCCTCGCGATGAAACCTGGGGTCCGATGGTCAGGATCATCGCCTCCTTCCGGCTGCAGGCATTTCCCTCTATGCTGCCAAGAAGGTCCCTGCTCCTTAGCAAGCTACGAGACGCCCCGCGCCTTTGGGGACTTTCTCCAGTGCTTTCATTGTCCCCCGCACCCAGTCCATT